TGCGGGGTTACCAGATCCTCCATGGGGCGCGTCCCCTCGTGCGGATAGGGGAATGCCCGGTAGAAATACAGGGTAGGCGGGAAATAAAATACCGCCCGTGGATCAAAACTGGTAAATGCAGTGAAAAGGGTAATCCCTTTACGTGCTTGGCAAACACGCATGTCACAGCCAACCTTGTAAAGGCTAACCACCCGCACAAGTGTCTTTATGGTTCCTAATATATTAAGGGAAGCCTCGGACGAGCATCGCAATGGTCAGGGGCGATGCGGGACACTACAGCCTGATCAACCGAATGACGAACCGGATATGAATATGATTTTGCAACCGCTCCTGAGTGTTTCACCAAGTCAATTGGTGACCACAAGGGCGGTATCTCCAGGGCAACGCATGAAATGGACCAAAGAAATGAATGAGCACATCATGCGGAGCTACTATTTTGTTACCAGAAACGAAACCAACAAAAGCGGATATAGGACACGACTGCACGAACTATTTAAGCAAGCATACCCTAACATGAATGTATCAGTACAAAGGATAGGGGATCAACGGAGTGCAATAATTAGAAATAAGTATCTATCAGCCCGAAAACTCAACGAATTAAAGAATGAAGTAGAAAACCAGCTATCTACCGAAATTGAAATCGGTAGAACTCAACAAAATGATGATTGTATGACGCCTGTTAACGATATTTATCAACATGACGAACACCAAGCGATAAACGCATTAACAAATGTTGACGAAAATGAAAACTTGACGATACTAAGAAATGAATTCAATGCTGCAATGATAGAGTTCAATGGTACTGATCCATTACTACGCCCATTTCTTCCCAAACAAAAAGCTACAAAAAGTTTGGCTATAGCGACTTCTATTATGAACAAAGAAATATTGCCTACTTTTATTTTAAATAATAATTACACATTTGAAGAACTGCAGACTGCAATATATGTGGCTGCAACAGCCGTTATTCGTTTCACTGGAGGGAAAACTGTTAGCCGTAGAATACCTCCCAAAAAGAAGTCAGTCGATCCGCCATGGAAACACAGACTGGCGTCTCAAATAAAAGAGCTACGTGCTACAATTGGTCGGCTAATACAGTACATGAACGGAAACCGGACGAAAAAGATGCGTAACTGGTATGAAACTTTTAAACTCGAAAATAAAAAGCACTCCAAACATGATCCGTCGAATGAAACAGCTGAACAATACCTAGATACTATCCGCCAAAAACTAGCTGTTAAGTCAAACCGTTTGCGTAGGTATACTCTATCAGAAAAGAGAAGAACACAAAACATATCATTTCAGCGAAATGAAAGAGGGTTTTATAGAAACCTTAAACGCAAAAAGACTGAAGATATAACCGAAGTACCTAGCGCCGAGCAAATCGAAAGCTTCTGGAAGTCTATATGGTCAACCAGCACGAAACATGCAACCGATTCAGCGTGGATCCACGATGAGGCCAAGAGAACGGAATCTATAAAAGCTATGGAAGACGCGACTTTCAGTGAGGCCGATATCAAAAAAGCTGTAGAGAGCACTCAAAATTGGCGGGCTGCAGGGCCAGATGGTATTTATAATTATTGGTTAAAAAAGTTTACATGCACACACAGTATGGTAGCTCAACACTTTACAAAATTCCTCAAACATGAATCCCAAGTACCGAACTTCTTAATGAAGGGATGTACATATCTGCTACCAAAGGACCCAAAAGATACGAAGAACCCTTCTAAGTATCGCCCCATCACGTGCCTATGTACCCTATATAAAATTCTTACATCTTGTTTAGCCGAAAAAATATGTACTCATCTTGATACGCACAACATTCTAGCCATCGAACAAAAAGGATGTGTTAAAAACAGCAAAGGCTGCAAAGAGCAGCTGATAATTGATACAGTCATAATGGAGCAAGCATACTATAATCAAAGAAATATTTATACATCTTATATCGACTTCAAAAAAGCCTTTGACACTGTTCCGCATTCTTGGCTTTTGGAGGTTTTAGACATTTATAAAATATCGCCGAACATAAAACGTCTTATGCAGCAACTTATGAACTCATGGAAAGTTACTTTAAAACTATTTCACGGACTCATAAAAACCGCTCCCATACCTATTAAAAGAGGTATTTTCCAAGGAGATAGCTTGAGTCCGATATGGTTTTGTCTGGCGCTAAATCCACTTTCTTCGATACTAAATGCGTCAAACTACGGCTTTAGTTTAAAAGCACCGCGTGTATCGCAATATAGACTTTCACACCTACTGTACGTGGATGACATAAAGCTATATGCTGCAAATGAACGTCAAATGAATACGCTACTGGAACAAACAGAAGATTTTTCAAATGATATAAAAATGTCGTTTGGAGTAGAAAAATGTCGAAGATTAAGTGTGGAAAATGGAAAACTTATAAGGCGAGAATTTGAATTAATGACTCATGAAACTGTAGACTCGATGACAGAAGACGACACATATAAATACCTTGGTATTTTACAGGCTAGGAGGATGCAGCACAGTGAAATAGTTTCAGCCATAACTAGTGAATACCTCCAAAGAGTAAAGAGCTTGCTGAAATCATGCTTGAATGGGAATAACCTTTTTAAAGCCATTAATGCATTTGCGATACCGGTTTTAACATACACCTTTGGTGTAGTAAAATGGTCCGAAACAGAACTGGAAAACGTCAAGAGAGCAACAAGGACATTGTTGACAAAGTATGGCACGCATCACCCAAAATCGGCAGTAGAACGTCTCTACTTGCCACGTCGACAGGGAGGTCGAGGGATGGTAGACATTAAGCAATTACATAATAAGTGTAAACAAAGCCTTCGTTTATACTTCCACAACCAAGAGGACAGCCTACTCCAAACCGTGTGCAAAGCTGATTTAAAATATTCACCATTAAATCTTAGTGAATTTTCTGCAATCGAATTAATATCAGGAACGCAACATATCCAGTCGCTCATGCAAGACTGGAAAATGAAAGCGGTTCATGGCAGATATCCACATGCTCTAGACGCTCCTGAAGTAGATAACGCTGCTTCCAACGAATGGTTAATTCACTCCGGCATCTACGCCGAAACTGAAGGTTTTATGATCGCTATACAAGATCAAGTTATTGCGACTAGAAACTACTCGAAATATATTATGCGTACTTCCGTTGAAAACGACCTATGCAGACGATGCCAAAAGCAAACAGAAACCATCCACCACATCACAGGAGCTTGTGTCACGTTAGCAGCCACCGAATACTTAACCAGACATAACCAGGTGGCAAAAATTGTACACCAGAGTCTAGCGATACAACATAAGCTAGTAACGGAAGAGCTGCCGTACTTTAAATATACTCCAGACGCTGTAATTGAAAACAGAACGAGCAAGCTATATTGGGACCGATCAGTTTTGACGGACCGTCCAATGCCACACAATAGGCCGGACATAATAGTGGTCGAAAAAGAAGTGAATCAAGCGTTCCTCATAGATATAGGCGTACCAAATACTCACAATCTTCAAGATTGTTATATGGAGAAATACAGAAAATACCAGAGCTTAGCATAAGAGATCAAGGATTTGTGGAAATTAGAAAAAGTAGAGGTGATTCCAGTTATAATTTCGACAACAGGAGTTATTCCAAAATCATTGAACACTAGCCTGGAAAAACTCAACATGGTAGAAAAGCGAAGGGCCATACAAAAATCTGTGATATTATCTACATCATCGATAGTTCGTAAATTTCTGAATATAAATTAGCATTAAGAAACAGAAAAGCTTGCAACTGTGTAGTATTGTCAATATCCGTTTGTAACCAATCTGAAGATTATATTTCTCTTATACTACTTTATAATCAATAGTGTTAAGTATTTTGTTGTATACCAACCAATACTTGATGTGAACCCGTAACGGATAAACAATAAAAAATAAAATAAAATAAAATAAAATAAAATAAAATAAAATAAAATAAATAAAATAAAATAAAATAA